CTTGATAGGGCCTTCTCTGCTGTTCTTCATTATAGTTTCTTTCGTTTGGAAATGTTGGAATCGCATGATGATATCTCTCGGCTGTTTGGCATCTACCTTCCTGGTTCCCAGGGCCCTGTGAATCCTGTCCAGATGCCACAGTTGGGCTGGAATGTTTGGTGCTAGGGGTTTTAGGATCGCCATGACCGTGTCTGTCAGGTCCCCCTCCCCCTCCTTTTCTGGCAGGCCTCGCAGCCTGATGTTATTTCGGCGGGAACGATTTGCCAAATCTTCCAGAGCAGTCTCAGCTGCTAGCAGCCTGGCTGTGAGGCTATTCACCCTACATGTTACCTCATTGTGTGCCAGGACTGTTGCCTCTTGCCTGTGTTCCAGGGCTGCCGTGCGGTGTCCTAGTGCCGCGATCTCGGCCTTCACCTCCGCCGCGGATCTGCTTATCTCCCCTGCCAGGTATGCCTTGACCTCCAGCAGCTGTGCCAAGATCTGGGAAGTCTCCTCAGCCGGTAAACCTTGCCCCCGGGGGGGCTCCGGGTGCTCAGGCACTGGGGAGGTCCTGGGGCTAGGGCGGTCGCCATCTTGCCTTGTCGGCTGGGATGCGCGGGAAACTGCAAAGAGGTCCGCCACTGAAGCGCCTGTCTTCGACGGCCGTTTATTCCGCGGGGTCCTCTTGTCCATACCGCTGCTGCCGGTGCCGTCTCGGGGTAGCTGGTGCTCGTAGAAAGTGCTTCTGTCGGCTATGAGGCCTCGGTTCAGCAGGAGCTCAGCTCACAAGCGTCCGCTCTGCATCACGGTCAGGCCACGCCCCCCATCTTTATGGGTCTTAACACTGATATGTGTTTTCCTTGTTGCCATCACCTCACCCCGGATTGCTTTAGAATTACAAGCTCTTTCATCTGATCATTCTTGTACTCAATTGTTTGGAGATAAGACAGTTCTGATATTCTTTAAAAAGGTTCCTTTTCTAATTTCACCTGAACTAGGAGATTAGCCTATCTTCTTTTTTGGAAAACCTTACTTCTGAAGAAGAATCCCTTTGGCATACTTTGGATGTGGTTAGGACTTTACGTGTTTACCTTGATTGTACTAAAGAATTTAGAAAGTCAAATAGACTTTTATTGTACCTTTTTGATTACAATAAGGTTCTGCCTCTGTTTCGTCTATCAGGAGATGGATTACTTCTGTGATTCAGAAAGCTTACAGAGTCGCTGGCAAACCAGTGCCGGAAGGTGTTAAAGCTCGCTCCACTAGGGCTGGCTCTGCCTCATTGGCGGATACTTCTACAGAAGAAATTTGTAGGGCTGTAGCCCGGTCATCTTTCAACACTTTTGTGAGGCACTATCGTCTACACGTTTCAGGCTTATCTGCCTCCTCATTTGGGAGAAATGTCCTTACTTCCGCAACTAATGTTTGATTAAATTTGGTTAACATTGATATGGTATTTTTTTATTTTTTTATCACCCACCCTTTACTTTGGCTTGGATTGGCCAGGAAAACAGAAAATTGTTACAATACTTTTTTTCTTTTCTTGGCCAAAATCCACGTTAGCATTAACGAACCCTCCCTTTTTTCTACACTGACTTGTTCACGAGACTGCTATTCTGTGGAGGTGGATTCCTTATATACACCATAATTTGAAATTTAGATTCCTTTCCTATCAGCTGAGAGGGAGTAGCTAACCCATAAGTGATGCTGACATGGATATTGGCCAGGAAAAGAAAATTACAGTAAGTATTGTAACAATTTACAGTTTTTTCTTACCTGGACTCTACCACTTAACCTTGCAGAAAGACACTGTCATCTCTCTTCCTCCCACATACATCACTATTCCCTCATTCCCGGTATCACCAAGGAATCTAAACTTCGGATGTCATCCTCTATCCCCAGGTCGCCCAAGTGTCATTCCCCAGGACAGCCATATAATTTCCACATTGTTATCCCTTGCGAACCACTTACCTTCTAACATATTCTAGTGTTACCATCTTGAATCTAAATGTTTGTGTTCATGTATAAAATAAACAAAAGAAACTTGACGTTTGTTTTAACATTTTTGCACCTTTCAAGAAAAATAAAATTCTAAATCATGAAAAACATTTTTTTCTAAGTTCCCTAACAAAGACAGAAATTAGATCAAGTTTATAGAAGCTTCTGTAGTCACAGGCATAAGAAAACTAAACAGGATGGAGATTTAAGGCATGGTTGTAACTTGAGTCTGTACAGGACTCAGATAAGCTTTGCACACTGCGGCGCTTGGGCACATTTCCTGCTTCAAGCTTTAGTCTGCCTGGTACATATGGGGTTAACTCCGAGCAGCCCTGATGCAGATAGATTGATACTGACCCAATAGGCATGCTTAGTAAAAAATTGAGCAGCTGCTTTAGACTATGTTTTAGGCTAAGTTGGACAGGATTTATTTAGGTACACAGCTTGGAACATCTTGATTAAGATCAATAAACTTGCTGATCAGTTCATCTCCAGAGGGTCGAATAGCCCCACATTTTAGCCAAGTTAATGATCTCACTGGCTGTTTTCCTAGTGTGCAGGACAAGATCCAGAGTGGCCATCAAAACATGTCTGTGTTTAATACACTTCAATATTATTCATAGTTCATAGACTGTAACAAATACCTTTTGGGTATCCATATTGAATCTGAACATATGCCACTTATACTTGTATGCAGCTCTTTAGCATCAACTGACTTCAATAAATATTACAATTCTCAATTGTCCTAGACTAGTAATGAATGTATGCAATTTTTTATTTAAGGACCCCTAAACAAAAGAAAGAAATCTACACACACAAAAAAATGAGAGGTTTTATTTATCAAAAGAAAATTTACAAAATATTTTTGAATATAATAATTACATCATACAACCAAAAAGACCAAACATCACACATATTCCCCACAGTCCGAGATGATCACTTTTTGTTTAGGTTTCCCATCCTTGCTACCCTGAGCCTGGAAATAAAACAGAAATTATAAATAAACATTAGAAACAAAAACATTTTTTGTAAAGTGCACTTTCTCTTTCAACCAGAACATTTGTACTGAGACTTCACAAACTGGTGTCTTATTTATCAATTCTACGTGATATTAATGGTAAACATGCATACATTAAAAAGATAACCTCCTGCCAAAAGAGACAGAGTTTAACCCCTTCAGGACGGAGTCAATAGTGCACGTTTCAAAACAAAACGTAAACAAAAACTGGAATTTGCGCTATATGTCTGTTCAACCGTAATTCACCGCTGTCACATTAAGTGCACCCACACATTATATATCTTTTTGTTCAGGGGAAACAGGGCTTTAATTTATCATTAACTATTCATATATGGAACATAATTTATTATGAATAAAATTTAAAAAAAATTGAGAAAAGAAGACTTTCTTTTTTTAAATTTGTATTTCCGTCTGACATTTTAGCTGTGAATGTCAAAATACCGTTAGGTTTTACTGCAAAAAAATGCACATATTTGTAATCAGCGATGTCTCACGAGTACAACAGTACCCCCATTAACAGGTTTAATGGTGTTTTGGAAAGTTACAGGGTCAAATATAGAACGTTCCATTTTCAAACTGAAATTTGCCAGATTAGTAATGTTACCTTTGAAACGGTGTGGTAGCCCAGGAATGAGAATTACCCCCATAATGGCATACCATTTGAAAAAGTAGACACCCCACTTTCAATACCTTGGGTTATGTCCAGTCTTTTTTAGTAGCCACTTAGTCACAAACACTGGCCAAAGTTAGCGTTCATATTTGTATTTGTGTGAAAAAAGCAAATAACTAATATTTGGCCAGTGTTTGTGACTAAGTGGCTACTCAGAAAGCCTGGACATACCCCACTTGCAATAGCTTGGGTTGTCTTCTTTTGCAAATGGTATGCCATCATGGGGGTAATTCTCATTCCTGGGCTACCTTACGTTCTCAAAGGCAACATAACCAATCTGGCAAATTTCAATGTCAAAAAAATGAAATGCAAGCCTTATATGTGACTCTCTAACTTTCCAAAACACCATAAAACCTGTACATGGGGGGTACTGTTATTCTCGGGAGACTTCACTAAACACATATTAGTGTTTCAAAACAGTAAAACATATAACAATAATATAGTCCATAAAAGTGCAGTTCGTTTGTAAAAAAATAAAAAAAAATAAAAAAAAAAAAAGCAAAAAACCTCACTTTTACTTAAAATATCATCGTTGTAATACAATTTACCAGTTTGAAACACTAATATTTGAGTTCAGCGAAGTCTCCAGAGTAAAACAGTACCCCCCTATGTACAGGTTTTTTAGTGTCTTGGAGAGTTGCAGGGTCAAATATAGTGCTTGCGAATTAAATTCTCTGCACTTTCTCCCTGTGTTGTCAGGCATGTCAATCAAATTTTAATTATTTAAATCACATAATTATGCTAAAAGATTACTTAAATATACACGTAGAATTTTAATATATATGCATTTATAGGTATTTAAATTCTACATGTATACTAATGTAATATATATATATATATATATATATATATATATAACAAAATACAGTTAGAATGAAATTACATATGAATATATAATTTATATTAAATTTTATTTATTTATTTTTATTATTGTAATTACATATATATATCGTCATTCTAAGTGTATTTTAATACTAATATGTGCTTATATTAAAATACACTATGTATGACGTTACATATAATATATATACACACACATATACATATATACATTATATATATATATATATTTTATAACATGTCTAATAATATTTTTTTTTACTTTCCCACCAGCAGGGGGACTTTGACATTTCAAAGAGTCCCCCTGCTGGCAGATCCACAGCCAGCTATAGGGGGCCATGTGATCGCTCTTTGAGAGCGATCACATGGCCCCCGGGGGCTTCTTTTGCCGTTGGAGGGCTGCCTGGGCTGTGAGGCAGTCCTCCTGAAGCAGAGCGCCGGGTAGGTAAGTATCCCGGGCTCTCCAAGGCTCAAAGCCGTTAAGGCGTTCTATGCCGCCGCAACGGCTTTAAAGCCCACTTAATGCGGGACGGCATAGAACGCCATAACAGCGTTAAGGGGTTAAAAGGAAAAGGAAAGCGTTTTTATAGCCAAAAAAAAAGTAGACATATGCACAAATCCCAATTAGCTGTGCTCAACATAACAAATGCCTGTTAATCAGTGTACGAAAGAATTGATTCATTCACCCACAATTAAACATTTGATTTGCTCAGCTTAGCTGAATGGGATTTGTATCCAAATATAAAATTTTTTTTTTTTTTTTTTTTTAGATCATTCACCTAGGAATAACAAGAAACAAGTTAAAAATGATTGCATATGAAATGACAGTGCGAATTGCAATCTTTAAATAACAAAGGAAAGGAGTTCAATAGAGCAACACAGACAGATGTAACTATCGTACTAGATGTAATTTTGGTTAGCAAACATGAGTACAACAGTAATACTCACCTCTATTAGCTGCACCACATCCATTCCTTCCATCACTTCTCCAAATACCACATGTTTCCCATCAAGCCAGTCTGTCTTGTCACAAGTGATAAAGAACTGAGAGCCATTGGTGTTGGTTCCAGAATTTGCCATTGACAACAATCCTGGTGGAAAGTAAAATCTTAGTCACAATCTCATGAAGATTTTAGCAATTCATATTTCATATAATGTAAAAAGTGTATAATGGAGTAGTGCTTTCTATTACTTACCCAATAGCTTGTAGGGTTTTCTAACAACTTTGTCAATATATACAAAACCGATAAACCAATATAATGTAATACGGTATTTACAACACCTTACATGTATATAAAACGTGAGATGGTGCACTCACATATACTAGAGCCTAATGTGATGGCTCAAATCCTTTGCGTTTCTGTGCCTTTAAGGTGCACCTCATATTTAAGCTGGGGTTTTACCATTGATTTGTAAAGAGGCAACATTTGATCTTGATCACGTGAATACCACTTCTTAATGAAAGAACCTTACTAAAATTTGCAAAAGCAGACTGGCATTGCATACTGTTACTTAGCTCCCAAGTCCTTTTCATTTAATGTTATACTTAATTCAACCCCATTTAATGTATAAGATGTTTGTGGTTTTTTTCCCCCAAAAATACATGACTTTGTATTTATCTGCATTGAATTTCCTCTGCCACCTGCCTGTCCAGTCCCTCAATTTATCCAAATCATTGTGTATTTTTATGTGGAACTTTGATTAAAGGACTACTCTAAGCATTATAAACACTTCAGCTTACTATTATGGTTACAGTGCAGTCTATGAATCGTTTAGGCATAAAACATATTGAAGTGCACAATAGGCGCTATAACCATTTCATCTTGCTGAATTTGTTATTGTGCCTGTAGTCCCCTGGCACTGTCCTTCTATTCAGTGTTAACTCATTTTCAAGCAATTTAACATGGAGTGAATGGATCCTGCCTTTCACAGCCAGGCCCCTACTGGAAGTATGGCTAGGGCATAGATTATACATTTCCTTCAAGCCATATCAATTCATAACAGCAATGGGAACAGTTATTGGTGGAAAGCAGTCAGATGACACTCTCAGCCACATCCCAATGCTGCTCAGGCTAATGCTTCCTCATTTTTGTTAAACTAATCTTTTCTGCATACATCAGGAATAAGTTTCTATTTTCACCTCTAAAGTATCTTTTTCTAAAACTGCAATGTTTTCAGCTGAAGGGTTAAGGAGACAGAGACCGTGCATTTTGACCACTTCAGTGAGATGAAGTGGTTTGGATGCCTCTAGTGTTTTAAAATGTAAAAATGTACTTCTGGGAAATCCTAGACTACTGAAATTTAGCATATGACTTTTATATTGAGCAGAAATATTTCAAGAAACAAAGCTGCAGTGAGACCAAAACAAAAGGATTGTCTCATAGTCTCGTATCAGGAGCGACTACATACCTGGACCTGTGTGTTTCAAAATAAAGTTTTCATCTTCAAACTTGGATCCATATATAGATTTCCCTCCTGTACCATTGTGATTGGTAAAATCTCCTGCCTGGCACATGAACTGCGGAATGACTCTGTGGAAACTACTGCCCTTGAAGCCAAATCCCTTTTCATGGGTGCACAAGCAGCGGAAGTTTTCTATGGACAGGAAGTAGAATTATCAGCATTTACATATGTCATCAGTTCTCTGGACAGCAGAGAAATGTCCTAATAATTGTGTATCTTGAAGGATATCATTTTTAGGTCCTCTTATTGAATAATTGACAAATTTGGCATTTATTAAAATAACATGGTAGTATTGGGAAATAAGGATTCATGGAATTGCAAATTTTAAACAAAAATGCAGAAGAGCATTTTACAGCACAACTATTTTGGCTTAAAATATGCAACTGTCAATTTCCAACAACTGCTTTTTAGCATATAAATCCCTTAAGCCTAAAACAAGGACATGAAATTTGCAATATATTCCAATTATTTTACAGGTAATCAAACTGCTTAAAATAGTTGTTTACAGATTAGCATCACTAAGGAATTTTTTTATAACAAATAAATAGTAAGTAACAGACAAAAAAGTACCTCTCCAGACGTGGGCCTCAATGAGTAAGCGTTAAAAAAAATGTAAATGTAATATATAGTGTGTGTGTGAATATAATATATATATATATATATACACAGGGAGTGCAGAATTATTAGGCAAGTTGTATTTTTGAGGATTAATTTTATTATTGAACAACAACCATGTTCTCAATGAACCCAAAAAACTCAATATCAAAGCTGAATATTTTTGGAAGTAGTTTTTAGTTTGTTTTTAGTTATAGCTATGTTAGGGGGATATCTGTGTGTGCAGGTGACTATTACTGTGCATAATTATTAGGCAACTTAACAAAAAACAAATATATACCCATTTCAATTATTTATTATTACCAGTGAAACCAATATAACATCTCAACATTCACAAATATACATTTCTGACATTCATAAACAAAACAAAAACAAATCAGTGACCAATATAGCCACCTTTCTTTGCAAGGACACTCAAAAGCCTGCCATCCATGGATTCTGTCAGTGTTTTGATCTGTTCACCATCAACATTGTGTGCAGCAGCAACCACAGCCTCCCAGACACTGTTCAGAGAGGTGTACTGTTTTCCCTCCTTGTAAATCTCACATTTGATGATGGACCACAGGTTCTCAATGGGGTTCAGATCAGGTGAACAAGGAGGCCATGTCATTAGATTTTCTTCTTTTATACCCTTTCTTGCCAGCCACGCTGTGGAGTACTTGGACGCGTGTGATGGAGCATTGTCCTGCATGAAAATCATGTTTTTCTTGAAGGATGCAGACTTCTTCCTGTACCACTGCTTGAAGAAGGTGTCTTCCAGGAACTGGCAGTAGGACTGGGAGTTGAGCTTGACTCCATCCTCAACCCGAAAAGGCCCCACAAGCTCATCTTTGATGATACCAGCCCAAACCAGTACTCCACCTCCACCTTGCTGGCGTCTGAGTCGGACTGGAGCTCTCTGCCCTTTACCAATCCAGCCACGGGCCCATCCATCTGGCCCATCAAGACTCACTCTCATTTCATCAGTCCATAAAACCTTAGAAAAATCAGTCTTGAGATATTTCTTGGCCCAGTCTTGACGTTTCAGCTTGTGTGTCTTGTTCAGTGGTGGTCGTCTTTCAGCCTTTCTTACCTTGGCCATGTCTCTGAGTATTGCACACCTTGTGCTTTTGGGCACTCCAGTGATGTTGCAGCTCTGAAATATGGCCAAACTGGTGGCAAGTGGCATCGTGGCAGCTGCACGCTTGACTTTTCTCAGTTCATGGGCAGTTATTTTGCGCCTTGGTTTTTCCACACGCTTCTTGCGACCCTGTTGACTATTTTGAATGAAACGCTTGATTGTTCGATGATCACGCTTCAGAAGCTTTGCAATTTTAAGAGTGCTGCATCCCTCTGCAAGATATCTCACTATTTTTGACTTTTCTGAGCCTGTCAAGTCCTTCTTTTGACCCATTTTGCCAAAGGAAAGGAAGTTGCCTAATAATTATGCACACCTGATATAGGGTGTTGATGTCATTAGACCACACCCCTTCTCATTACAGAGATGCACATCACCTAATATGCTTAATTGGTAGTAGGCTTTCGAGCCTATACAGCTTGGAGTAAGACAACATGCATAAAGAGGATGATGTGGTCAAAATACTCATTTGCCTAATAATTCTGCACTCCCTGTATATATAAAATTTCTATATAAACATTTTGAATAAATAATTTTAAAAGTGTATTAAAAACCAGTGCCAAATGTGAGACAAACCCCAATTTTTATTCCTGCTCTTTGAGATTAGATTCCAAATTGTAGCAAATTGAAATTTTAAATGGCAAACCTTAGGCTACAAGAGTTAGTTACAGTTTAACCATTCATATTTAGTTTTGCTACAATTCAGTTTAGTGGTAGCTTTATTAGTTACAACTGATCAATAAAGGGAATCTATAGGCACCTTGATTGTTCCATCCCAATGAAATAGTCTGGGTGCTTTGTATGTCTTTTAAACCCTGCAACTCTTCAGGAACGCCAATGTTATCATTGAATCTCATGGAAAAGCATTTGACTGGTGCAGCACAGTGTTTGTTCTGTACATTTCCAAGTGCTTCTCTATGGACAAGCATTGTATTGGCTGAGATCATCAATCTTGATAACGTCAGCCAGGGAGGGAGCAGAACAGAGAAGGAAGGTAGAGGGACACTATAGCACTAGGAATACATAAATTTATTCCTAACATAAGAGGAATCAAGCTAAAATGTACCTCCATTCCAAAGGGAGGACAAGTTGCCAGCCCAATCCTCCTCCGGTGACATAATTCCCTCCCACTGGAGAGGAAGGGATGACAATGAGGACAGACTGAGGAGGGGTGTAATCTCTCCATTTGCCGTCTGTCTGCAGAATGCTATGTGTGCTACTGACAGACACCAGCTATTCATAGAAAAGACCCGATCATGGATATTTTTAAATCTTTACTTTCCTGATGTCTAATGGAATCACTTTGTCAACCCTTTTGCTTACTTGCAAATAGGACATATCCAGAGAAGAGGACTTGCCTAAAGTGTTCCAATGTTATTGCTTCAGTACTTTGATATATTTAACACTAACAGTAATGAAGAGAAAAAAAAAAAAACCTTGTACTGAACACAAAACACTCCCCACAAGATCAGACATACACTCGTAAAATACCGCTCGTTATCACACTGAATGTGTTCAGGCAACTTCACCCAATGCAGCATACAAGTGAATTATGCACATACCTGCTGTCATCGGCACAATATCAGCTCGAAGCAAGAATCGAATGCGACCAGCAGGTTTGTTCCCTATCTTAACATCCATGTAAACTTGCGGGTTTGCACGTACTTTTTTTGCAGGTGGTTCTCCCTGAAAAAATTCAAACATTTACAAAATTCAAATCAATTCAAATTCAATCATTGAGACAAATTTATTATAGTTCAAAGTTCAGTTCAGTTCAGCCAAAAACACTATGGCTTCTGGAACTGAAGTAAAACACAAGCTAATATACGATGTATAGAACGGTATAATATATCACAGACACACAAGGTTATATTTCTTCCTAAAATGGTTTGGCTCTGTATGGCTTTTAATTAAATTTGTACATACACTTCCAGGTGTGTTTTATAGCTTAGAAGCTGCCTACAGTAAAGTGCGCAAAGAAGATTCTATTTCTCTATTTTTATTCGTTAAATAATATCATCTGAACAGTGAGTAAATATTTACTATTAGTCATTACGTAAAAATAATCCCAAGATCAACCAAAGGGTGTACAGCAGTTTAAGAATGAGATGGGAAAGAACTAAATTGTAAATGGAATATGATGTGTTAATGCGTATGTGCATACTTTCATATGGGGTAAATGTACCGTAAATCAGAAATATAAAATTCAATTTAAAGTTAATTTGACATTTATTCATGGCACACACAAACATAAAAGCTTATATAATTTGTCTTTCATTTAAAAAAAAAAGTGTGCATGAAATGTAGTTCTCTTTAGAAAGTCAATGGTACCTCTTTAATTTCTGTTTTGGATGCATCTGTTACTTCCCCTTCTTGATTTTCTTCCAATGTTTTTCCAGAGAACTTCTTTAGCCAGTCATCATCAGACCAAACTAACCGGATGACAGGAATATTGATTATTTTCTACCCAAGGCATGAAAGACAATTAAAAAAAAGCAATCCAGCCACAACCAGAAATCTGCTTGTAAAAAAGGGAAATTCGATTTCAGTTGTATATTCATTATTAAAGGACCACTATAGTGCCAGGAAAACATACTCGTTTTGCTGGCACCATAGTGCCCTGAGGGTGCCCCCACCCTCGGGGTCCCACTCCCGCCAGGCTGAATGGAGAGGAAGGGGTTAATCCCTTACCTTTTTTCCCAGTGCCGGGCTCCCTCACAGTGAGAAGCGCGGAAGCGCCTCTAGCGGCTGTCAATGAGATTAACCCATTTGTAAACATAGCAGTTTCTCTGAAACTGCTATGTTTACAGCAGAAAGGGTTAATCCTAGATGGACCTGGCACCCAGACCACTTCATTGAGCTGAAGTGGTCTGGGTGCCTATAGTGGTGCTTTAACCATTATGCAGTTGTCTTTGAAGTTTTCAGTGAAAAAATGCAAAGAAATTGTGAGGGTATCCAGTCACAGGTCAGTAACAAGAAAGAAAATGAAACTGCTTGCACACAAATTGAAGCCCAAGATGAACGGTCACTGTTGTGAATGTAAACCCAATGGATTTTGTGATTGATAATGTACCTTTCTTAATATGCAGGATTTTAGTTGTGCTGTAGCAAAAGCCTGCAGCAAGAGCTTGTCCTACACCATGCATTACCAACCAGAAATAGACTGCTCAAAGTAGGAGAGACTGTAAGTAAAATACAGCCACAACCAATTGCACTACAGCCAATAGAAGCCAACTTTGCACGCAGGGGACTTTATGTGTAAAGTGTTTGTATAGATGACCAGCGTAATGGGAAATTACTTGTAAAGGGTAACTGCCAAATTAACTCTTGTTTTAAATTAACATTTTTAAATTATACATTTTTACATGGTGGTGAAGCCACCTTGAGATTCTGTTTTGTGATATTTCTTCATTTAGAAGTTTGCAGATGTAATACCGAGTTGCACCCCACCACCATTCACAACATATTTATACTTTTGCATATTTGTTGGGTATTTACAAAGCCTGTGGTTTACTGGACATGAACAGTCTTTACATGACAATTATATATACAGTGTTTGGTGTAATTAGCACTTACCAGCTTTGGAAGACCCTTCTTTTAACCTCATGGGTTTAGCCAGATTGACACGTATCGTTCTTCCAAACAATTCTGACTCATTCTATGAAATAAAAAAATATAATGTACGTTCATCCACAATAACTAATACATACTAATCATTACATTATATTCAGACAAAAAACTCAAATTAAAGTATTTTATAAGTATGATTATAATGACTTTCACAACAATCACACAATAATGTAAAGAAGGAGCAGCATGATTTGGCAAATTAGACATACCATGTTATCAATAGCAGCAGCAGCATCCTAGAAGAAAAAAAAAAAAAAATCAAATTACAAATGGAGTTATATTAAACATCTGGATAAATAGATTTCTTAGAATTCTGAAAATGTATTTTAATACCATAACCAAGTCAATGTATGTTACTAACATGGTGCAAACAATTATGTATAATCAAACCGTTGACCGTTCTAGATCAACCAGCTTAATCAACAGCATCCTTTACATCAACCGCAGTGACATCTCTGCCACCTGTTAAGATGTTACACATCAGGGAGCCTGCTGTGCATGTGTAACTTTATATTAATGATGCTAACAGGACGGAGTACAAACTGTAGAATAATCAAAAAGTATAGTTTCTGAATGTAACTTTTATAAAAGAATATATCTGCAACCTGAGAATATCAGAGGAATAGCTTACCTCTGGGATTTCAAATTCCACAAAAGCAAATCCTCTGTGTTTCTCTATTTAAAAAAAAAAAAAAAAGAAAACACTAAATAACATGCATTGTCAATCAGTATATAACAACAAGTTAAACAAATCATGAAAAGTACAATAACATGTACTATTGTAAAATAAATCCTCAGAATACATATGGATCTGTTTACAAGGGAAGAAAACACATTGTGGTGCAGTAAAACCAAATCCCAATCATACTAATAATAAGGAAATCCAACTCCAAGTAAATTACATGACAGCTGGGCCTGGCTATTATTATTGCTATAACAAACACTTGACAATTTTATTAACGATTGTTTCTTTCTTTATTCAAAGTCTGCTGGTATAAGTCCTTTTTATTTTAATCTAACAATTTCAAACTAAGTGATATCTGAAACAGATCATGGACCAATTTGCCTGTATGTGTAGGAGTTTACTGTCAAACGCTGTACATACCAAGTTTAACCCCTTTGCTGCTGGAGCTGCAACTTCACCTCCAGTAGGGGGCATTAGCAGCCAGCCCTGAACAAGAGTTACGAGCCAGCTAATGTCAATTGTTTCCAAACGTTGATGCACAGACTCTCATTCATTGATGCTCTCAGCCAATAAATAATCAGATGGATCAACATCCGGCTTCTGCAGCTCTGCAGAAGCCAGATGTCATAAACCTGCCTATATTGGAGTCTGTGCCCAGCAGGACCAGGGAAGATAGCAAATCATTGTAAAAAGACTTGCCCTCTTACTGGTGAATGGCACCAAAGTACTCCTATCATGCAGGATAACCTGTTGGGGTCACTAGCATCTCTGTGCATCTCACTGTGACAAGCTCATTCATGAAGTCAGTTGTATAAGGAAGACAGGCGCATCTAAAATTGGATTCAAACATCCCACTCCAAGGGAAGTGTTAACTAAGTTGACATCAGTGGTCCTCCTCCACCACAGTAGAGGTTCATAGCTTATTGTGCCCTATAGTTAAAATGTTTTACTTACTGTTTATTTATATTCCCAGCTGGCCCTTTCACAATAGCAACCATTTCAGAGAGTGAGCTGCCTAGACTGACCTATCCACTGGAGCCTAGTATATTTTTTGAATTTTCCCTTTACAGTATTGACACTTCATACTGTAACTGCAATCTCGCTGTTTTCAGAGCACATTTCCTAGGAGCATTCTACCTTTCAGCATATCAAACCATTTAAGGGAACAAAACAGTCAAAAGTTTTTAAATTAGTGATGATATTATATGTGGGCTGATACTAAGAGTGAATACATAAATTGGGAAAATTAGAAAGACTGCATTATCTTACCAGTTTCATAATCAAGTGGTATCTGAATGTCTGTGATATCTCCAAAAGGGATAAAAGCTGCATGCAAAATTTTCTCATCCACCTCCTCAGCAAGACCACCTAAAATATAAATAATATTTTTTCATGATTGCTTGCAAACTCCAATCGCTGATGAGTTTGGCTTATTCACCAAATGGCATAGTTGTAATGTTGAAATACAGAGAGACACGAACAAATACAATTTACCTGTGGTGTATGGAATATGACAAGTAATCAAGTGCAAAACGCCTGGAATAAGCCATTGCCAAGCATGGATAAGTAAAAAAATAAAAAGTATCAAACGACACATATGTATACCTCCCAACAGTACCGGTTTGTTACCTGCTGCCCCACATATGGGGACACTGGAGACCAAGTCGCCAGAATGTACAGAGCAAGCTGATCATTAAACTGCCTTGTGCCACATAAAGTAAACTCAGGGCATTGAGACTATGCAATAGAGCTTCACCAATGCCCTGATAGCTGTATCTATGGGAGTTTATACATATTGTTTCAGTGTAGTCACAACCTTTGTTTGTAGAATTGTTAAAGGGCTTTATGTGTAAGACAGGTTGGGGAGATAGGACCAAAAAGGAAGCCAAAGCCAACAAATAACCAACGCAGGTAAGCATTAAGACAGAAGAACTCAAGAAGGATAGGTGGAACCGTAAAGAATTTGCAGTAGAGTGACTAGCAGTGTGGAGAATACAATAATTTGTTGATTACAAAAGCACTATGCTTAAAGGGAACCTGTCATGACTCACTCACCTCACCCTCCCCGTCCGCGCTGCATTGTCCTTACGGAGACAGGTGTAAAATTTCTGTAATACCCACCTCCTGTCCGCCCTCGCCAGTATCTTCATTGACTTATCCTGCATGGGGGACGCTTCCACGCTGACATGGTGGCATTGCCAGCATCTAAATCGAGTGATGTCAGTAACTGTTCCTATACTCCCTAGCCAGGGTTAGTAGCATCTGCTAGGGAGTTACCATAGCAACCACCATGCATGCACTGTGGTTGCTACGCCCATGGGCAGTCTCTTCTGCTCTCACTTATAAATCAAATCTTCAGCATACAGTCCATGCCAAATAACTGATTGACAGGTCAGAGAAAGACATTTATAAATAAATAGTTTTTTTATCTCAATCTACACATTTGCTGATAAAAGTGCTAGCACAATGTAGAGATTGAATTCAATGCTCTTTAAATGGATACTGTAGTGCCAGGAAAACAAAGCTGTATTCCTGGCACTACCGATCCCTCTGACTCCCCCCTCCAACACAAGTAGTCAAACCATTCTATATATAATGTTTTGACTGCTTCCTGACTCACAGAGGGCCAAAAGCTTTCTGGCTAAGCTAACCATGGTGGTGCAGCTCATATGGTCCTGCAGCTATAAGGCACGGACAGAGATGGAGAAGATATTCAACCAGATTTCTTTAATTTAGTTACTAGATTATTACTTTACTATAAAGATACTGCCATTGTTACATATAGTTTACTACTGTAATCTTTTGTACTTGATGTAACATGTAGTTAATAATCTGGCTGATAGAATTTTGGTTGGCAAATACTTACTTGTTTATAACAAATGGCTAGCCTGCTTTATAAATGCCAATAATAAATAAATATGTTTATATTCCATATAGGACACAGCAATTAATTTACTACGACCTTGATTGGAAACGTGCTTTTTCCATGTATTCATTTAAAAGTTGTATGCACATTTATTTGCCACAAATTTAAATTTGTTATTTAAAGGAACACTATAATGTCAGGAATACAAACATGTATTCCTGCCATTATAACTCTAAGAACGCCGTTCAGATTACCACCCCACTCTCCCTGCAGTAAAAATATGTTTTACTGACCTTTTTTTCCCAGCACCTTTTGGTTTTGCTGCTGCTGGCTCCTTGGCTTAGATCATCAAATTTACAATGCTTTCCCATATAAGAGTACTGGGAGGCTAAAGCGCATGCGAAGCAAAATGCCACGCTGCACCAACCAGCATCTCCTCACAGTGCTGCACTAAATCAATGCATCTCTATGAGGAGTTTCAGTGCCTCCATGCAGAGCGTGGAGACGGTGAACGTCACTGCTACATAGTGTGCTGCACTGACCCAGGAAGCACTTCTAGGGGCCGTCTGAGTGACTGCCACTAAAGGTGTTACTAGGCAGCAATATGAACATCTGCCTTTACTTTGGAAAGGCAGTATTTACATTAAAAAACCTACAGGGACAGGCATAAATACCATAACAACTACATTAAGCTGTAGTTATTCTGGTGACTAACGAGCCACTTTAATGTATATTTAAAAAAAAAAAAATATATATATATAGAATGTCGTAGAACGTTACAGGGTAAAATATAGTGCTAGCAAATTAAATTCTCTGGACTTTCGGCCTGGGTTGGCAGGCAGGTCCCTCAAATTGCAATCAATAAAATTACTTAATTATGTAAAAATATTACATAACTACGCACGTAGAATTTAAATATATATGCATATTTATATATTTGAAGTCTACGTGTATATTTATTTATGTAATTTTGTATATGGACATATGTATATTTCGTATTTTTATTTATATATACATAGATATATATATATATACACAATTTCATTCCAAGTGTATTTTGATATTAATATATATATTTATATCAAAATACACTTAGAATGAAATTTCATAGATATAATTTTTTTTTTTTACATTTTTTTATTTAATTTAAATTACTTATTTATATTTTATAATATATATATATAAAAATGTAATTATAAGTATTTTTATATTAATATATGTACCCTGCTGGCACTGCTGTGGACGGCTGTTCCGTCCATGTGATCATGAGGTCCTCGCCAGGACCTCGCGATCACATGGCCCACGAGGGCCAGAACAACAGCAAGTACATAGCAAGACCACCACAATCGACTGCAAGTACATAGAACGGCGGGGATGTGCTATGCCGCCCACCACTAAACGTGCCAGGTCCCCGAGGACGGCATAGCACACCCACTGTCCCTAAAGGGATTCTATAGTATTGGCCATTTTAAAGGACTTTTTATTATATTATATCCACTTTTAATTTGCCATTGTACAATAATAAATTTTATTTTTAATCCACACATCCTAAGCAAGTCCTTCCTTGGAGCCTCTGGGAATCTTCATATGGGTAGTGCCATCCCCATCCAAATTGGCACAGAACCTGTATACCTTAGAGCCGGGACCAGTAGGCTCAGAACTAGGTGAGCACCCCATTTATTATTGCATATTTCTATCTGATATTATTACAGTCTACACATTGGTCCTCCTCCTCCCCTTATGTCTTGTTAATGAGGATCATTGCAAGCTGAAGCGGAAAGGTGGTGCTGCCATAAGAGCACATAGGTCTGATTAAGGAGCCAGTACCTATACACAGGCTCCTTTAAATGTGAGTATTTTCTCTGCTACACTACATATTAAACCCCACTTTTTAAAGACCGTCTGCACTATACTGTACCCTTTGTTCTTTTTACATGTATTTTATGCTAAACTTCCAACATAGAATAGTTTGGTAAGTTCTGTATATTTATTCCAGCGCTCCACTTAGAGGTGTTTGTTTCTCACTCACACCGTTGTTATATTTCTTGTGGATCAGAGGATATTTCCACATAAGTGTATAGAGCTGCTTTTTATTTATTTTTATTCATGCCTTGGCACTCATTTGTTATACACATCCCTGTACTTCGAGGGAATATTTTGGATTGGGATTCTATAGTGTTAGGAATACAAATCTGTATTCCTAACACTATAGTGCCCTCTGCCCCCACCTCCTTCGTAGCACACCATCTGGCATATAAACAGTTTAAAGGAATTTTTTTTTTAAGTCACTTAACCAATTTCAGTGCTGATGTCAGCACTCTGCGACCTCCTACTAGGTACCTAATGCGCATGCACATCGAGTGCATTAGGCCCATCCCAAAGGAAAACATTGCCTTAAAGGACCACTATAGGCACCCAGACCACTTCAGCTCAATGAAGTGGTCTGGGTGCAAGGTCCATCTATGGTAAACCTTGCAGCTGTAAACATAGTATTTTCTCTGAAACTGCTATGTTTACACTACCGTTAATCCAGCCTCTAGTGGCCGTCTCATTGACAGCCGCTAGAGGCGCTTCCCACTGTGATTTTTACAGTGAGAAGACGCCTAGGAAAGCATTGAGAAATGCTTTCCTATGGACTGATTGAATGCGCGCATGGCTCTTGCCACGCATGCGCATTCAGCGCATGTCGTCGGAAGAGGGAGGAGAGATCCCCAGCACCGAGGGAGCCCGGCGCTGAAGAAAGGTAAGAATTTAACCCCTTCCTCCCCCATCAGCCCGGCGGGAGTGGGTCCGAAAAACCCTATAGAGCCAGGAAAACGATTTTGTTTTCTAGGCACTATAGTGGTCCTTTAATTCTTTCCCCTGGGGAATTCACCGATACTGAATGTCCACTGTCGCTTAAGGGACTCAGAGTCCATTTGAACCCCGGAAACTCCTTTGGTGGCTGTCTAATTCAGAGCCACTGGAGGCTGTCTTAGTCCAGCAATGTAATCATTGCAATTTCTCAAAAACTAAGTGGGACAGGGACACTGCACCCAGACCCCTTCAATGAGATGAAGAGGTCTGGTGGCCTATAGTGTCCCTTTAATGCAAAAATGTCAAAAAAAACAAACTGTCCAAGTCAGCAATGCTTCCACTTCACTACTTCAGCTATTACCTCAAACCCCCAAGGCTGTTAAAAGTAAAGTAACCATTTCCCCGCTGCAAGTTATAGCCCACAACATACAGCGCTGTTTGCTGTCAATGTGAATAGCTACATGCACACAAAGTGCAACTGATAACATATAAACCAAGCTATAATGATAATAACACAGTATCTTCATTGTCAAATGTCGTGTGAGCTAAACTAAGCCACACCCTCCCCTCACTGTAAATAGAATCAAAGAGAATATTATTAATATAAACGGGAACACTAACCAACGTACAAAACACGCTTGGCGGCCGCCATCTTACTTTATTCCCGGTGACCTTTACCCTC